GGTAGGAACAGATATGCAGAACAGACACACAGATGACATACCGAGTTCCCAGACATCAAACGTCTTTGAACCAGGGTTCCACAGGAGAGGTTACCACTAACTTGGCAACATTCTCTACTGAACAAGAGGGTGTTCTAAGACAGTTATGGGAAGAGAGCAATGGCAAGTTCCTTTGCTGCTTGTCATTTGCATACCATTATGGCAGTGTTATCACCGCTATGTTTCCAGGAGGAAGTAGGACTCTAAGGTCCCTATTAGCAGATCAGGGAAGATAGACCCACTACATTTAGGAAACCTAGGATCGTTTTAAAAACAAACAAACCGTATATACAACCAGCCCCCATCCCGCTAAGGAGAGTGACTGGTTTCCATACAGATAAACCAAAGAAAGTGACAAATTAAGGTCTTATAGGAGTGTAGCAATTGACCAAGGGATTTGAACATTTGACCATCAGGCCAATTTCTAAGACCCTGACTTCAAATTTTGCCACCTTTCCCCAGAAAAGGAAACCTTTGCAACAAGTGCCAGGGCAAAGGGCAGGTTTTCCTGAACCTCCTTTAAACAAAGGCCAGGGCAAGAGGATTTGGAGAGAACATTTGTGAATTAAGCCCTATATTTTAGGTCATAGTTAAGTGAATTAAAATTCCAGTTTTGTAGGCTGTGTGCATTCTTTGTCAGGCTTTGCATAGGAAAAAGTTAATAGCAATAAACCATATTGCTTTCTTAAGGACACCCTGTATTCTCTTTTCATTCTCTCTCCAGTTCAAGTTAAATTTAAGTTGTGCCCTATTGGTTAGTTCCGTAGTCTTTAGATATAGAGAATAAATTGCTCTTCTACTTACTCCATGAAAAATGCTGGGATATAAATACATACCCAGCTTCCTTTCATGTAGTTATTTTCAATTATAGTGTACAGGTCTTTCTTTTTAGTGCTAGATAAGACTACAAGGACATATTTCCAGTTAGCATGTGGACTCTTGGCAGGTCATTGACTTCTGGCTCATATTCTGTGTAAGTGGATACAGTAAAATAAAAGAGCAAGTATAAACAAAGAAAGTTTATTTATAAAATGTCCCTTGAGGTTAATTAATTATTCTTCGGGCTGTTACGTAAGTTTTTCAACTCCAGCTGTAGTTGTCGAATTCTTATGTCTTTCTGCGAAAGCTCATCTTTCAACCGTCGGATCTCGTCTTGTTGTCGAAAGAACATTCTGAGGAGCTTAAAAGAAAGAAAAAAAAAAATAGGTGTACAACATTGTGGTAACATTTATAATATCTGCTTTCCCCGATGGCTTCATGCCTTTCCTGCCAACTGTCAGAGAACCTGCCTTCGATTCATGTCATTACACTGTTCCTTTTGAAAGATCAGTTTACCTGCAATACTCCATTGATGTGCCCTGTCCATTTTCATGGTAACTCAGTTAATTCACATCGTATGGCTCAACAGCTCAGTTTGTGAAAAGAAATTCAATATTGGATTCAGTGTAAATGTTTCCCCACAGCCTTTAAGTGTAGCACAGAGAACAATCGTTTATTAAAAACTGTTAGGAAATTAATCCAGTTCATTTTGTATGCTCTCTGCTTAAACCTCAGCAAAGTCCTATGGGTTGAAGTTTGATCCAGGGAAACACACACATGGATTTTCACAGCTTGGGAACAAAAGTAGAGGTGCACAAATTGATGTGTTTATATGCTACAATCTTGGATGTGTGCAGTTGCTCTTTGTCAGAGAAAGTCATGACCTCATCTATGGTCATGTGCCCTATATTGATAACAGATGGAGATTTTTATTTAGTTAAGTTGCTAGGAGTCTGGTTTCAGAGGCGGAGGGTCAGAGTTCAGTCCCCCACTGTTGGTGTGAAGTTCCAGGTGGCTATGTTGTGCATCTTAATAACAACCTTGCAGTTCCTAGATGATTACAAACTTGTTACAATACTGTACAAAGAACTGTTTATAAGTTACACCATCTACATGGAAAATACAGTGAAAGCCACTGATGCCAGAAACTAGGATGGCACATGGAAGCCAAGCTGGCAGAAGGGACACCGGAATAGTTAAATGCACTCTGTGGTCAAGGGAGGCTAGGAGTGGCGACAATTATGGTACAACACAGTCTCTACTATTTTCTACTGAAATTAATGGGAAGACGTAGATTGAAAACTCTCTGGAGCAGGACTACCTTGTTCAGTGCTTGTCCTGGTCCTCGAGCGGGTCAGCTAGGTGTTACTGAAGTACAGAATGACATCTGCGGCATAAAATCAGGCCTCTGTGCTATTCAGTAGGATCAGAAAATGCAGCAGACCTGATCAGCTGTTTTCTTACTATGTCCAAGAGAGGTTTTGCACTGCATAAGCTTGAAGCACATGGCTGAGATCTTGGCCATTCAAAGCCATAAGTTAACACCCATTGCTTACCTCATTCTCTGTCCTGGGGGGCACGTTTTCTAACAAATCTATTCCATTGACAACCACACTTTTTTTCTCTCTTATTGGTGCCTTAAAGACAACTTTGGATGCCTTCTTATAGCCCTCCTTCAAAGACATCAATATGGGATCTATGTGAGATGGTAAAATAAAGGAGGATGTTAACACGTGCTCTGCTACAGGACATGTGTATATATCCCTCCCCTATCGTCCTACCTTAACATTCACTACCTGTCAGTTGCTACAACAATGTGTTTTCATGGTGACTGGACTGGACAGGCCTTGGACTGACAGTCAGGAGACCTGGGTTCTAATCCAGCTCTTCTACTGACCAGCTGTGCAACCCTGGCAAGTCACTGCCCCCCGCCCCGTACCTCTTTCCCTTCCCATCCTTTGTCTTGTCTAAATAGACTCCCAACTTTTTGGAACATGAACTTTCTCACTAGGGCCTTGTCCAGACTAGAAAAAAAGCCATGGTTGGTTGGTTTTTTTAATCGGGTTAGCTAAAAAGATTTGAAACACCACTTGGTAATGCAATGCTAAAGAGACCAGCACCTGTGGCAGACACAGCTTAAGTGGTGCTTCAGAGCATGTTAACTAGCTTGAATCTCTCTCTCTCTCTCTCTCTCACACACACACACACACACATACACACACACACACACACACACACTTTTCCCATGCTCACACAAGGCCTATATTTTCAGTTGGAGCAACTAGGCACTACTTTAACACAAATAAACTTACTTATAGATGGAGCTCAAAAGCATTCAACGGCCTCCTTACCCTTCCCTCCCCTCACAGCTTACGAGCTCTAAAATGGTTCCTGTGGGTTTATGTACACTAAGTACATACACACACAGCACCTATGCACCCACCATCACATCATCTGGTGGCCAATGCAGAGTATGGAAAGTGCCCAAGGATGAGTATGGATTTAGACACATTTCACAGTGAGGCTCAGAGATCAATTCTGTTTACATGTCCAATAGACGTGCAGTAGATGCTCATGCAGGGTTCATTCTTTTACCTCTGTTCATTCCACTCAGCCATTCGTCTGGTGTCAGGGCTGGTTCTATACCTGGAGTCATCGGGTAAATATCCTCTTGGTATGTTTCTGACTGGAAGTGAGGAAGAATAAAGAGTGGCTGTCTTCATAACATTTGTTCCCAATTGTAACTATGCGTTGCAAAGTGCCATAAGCAACAGTTTTCTTACAACCCCGGCCAACGGTAACGTAGCCATTCAATAGCATCCCAGGAAAAACACTTAACTGCCTTTTCACCATTAACTTTAAATGGGGAATAAAGAGTTCTAGCCCCTGCCTATTAAAGTCATGTTCTGAAAGAAAATTATACTCCAGCAGTACTGAGCATTTGAGCTGTAGACAGACTAATAAATATTATCCAGCTGAACTGGGAGGCTTTGGAAGGGCATCGCCTCTGGCCTGTTGGAGAGGGTGCTCCCTGCTGCTGCACAGACCGTTCAGGGAACGCTAAGTGCACAAAGCATACGGTTACATATTGTAGTTCCCATTTCAAAGCACGAGCCAGTTAAGTCAAGGAGCACCCACTCTGGCCACATACGGCATAAAGAAGAACAGCCCAGGGGAAAACACCAAGGAAAGTTGTCCACAAGGGTAATTTGCCTTTCCCCTCCTCTCCACATTTCTGCTTGCTGCAGATTAGCAAATTCAGGGCAATGAGAATGAAGCTCTATTGAGTCAACTCTGTTTGGAAAAATACTGACTCAGTCCTAAACCTGAACATGGCTCGTAGCTTTGTTTCAGATTTCATACAGCTGGACAAAGCAGGTAAAGCCAGCACTGAATACTGCTCCCAACACACGGAGATGTGAGTTGTACTTGGGATGGGTCTCTAAACCTAGATGTGGGACAATCCTTTTGAAATGTGTGACAAAGACCCAGTTAATTTCACATAAAATGATGGCAGCAGAAGTTAGAAAAAATGCTGGCGTCAGCTCTTTAAGAACTTTCCATAAGCACGGAGTTCAGACTTAGCATTGCTGTACATTTGAAAAGCAGTTTTTAGCAAGATGTGAGTTTGGGTCTAAAATGTGTAATTGATATAAATGAGAGGTCACAGAGAGATCTACCCATCAAAGAAGACAGATGTTATCCACAGCCAGGAAAAAGCAACCCCATGATGTTTGAGATGCAAGTCAGGAAAATGTCTAGCGTGGTCAGAGTACAGTATGTAAGATGTGTGGTTGTTGTGGACAGTGATATAAACCATCAGGGGCTTAATACAGTTTGCCAAGGTCCTTTTGACATTTACTGTATTTCATCTAAATGATTCTGCTCTGTGCAAGTCAGAGCAGGATTCCTAGTGTGGTCTCAAAAGGTAAAAGTTCAGTGACTGAGTCTCCCAGCTCCTTCCCTGTGCATCATTTTAATAGAGAATACGGCAGACTTTGACGTACCCGAGTAACAGAAATAGAATTCCCCCGGCACACCAAGTGTTTCCAACTCTGTGCTTTGAACATGTTGGGCAGAGAACGCATCAGAGCATTGGAGTTCCGTACGGGAGTAGGAACAGTGCTGACATGTACTCACCCTCCTTGGCACGATCATAGAGATTGGCTCAATCAGACCCTTTAAGGTAACCAGTTTATAGAATCTGAACACCTCACATGCAGACACATCCAGCCCGTGCTTTGGCATCACACCTATTAGAGAGTTCACATGTGAGCAAGGGTCTGTCCTTTCATGCCAACAAAGCATTAGAATATTCAAAAGCTCTTGCGCTACAACTTGGTCCGTGAGAAAGGAACCAATCTTACTCGCCCCATGCTAGCTGGCTTAGGATACGGTAGCAGTATATAGATCCAATTAGGCATCATGTCGATGGGAAAAGTTCTGACAGCGTAGGTACGTTTCAAAGCTGCTGCCGAGAGAACCCTCGTTTCCTACCGTAAATCGTCAGCGCTTTACAAGTAAAGAAAAGCAATCAGTGTGTTCCGCGAGAATGGGATTCTCTGTTTTGCTTAAACACAAAGCTAAGTGAGAAGGTGTGCCTTGTAACTCCCCAATGGATACCAGCCTACCACTGCTACCGGCTATATGGAGTTTCTTCTTTAGCTCGAGTAGCAGCTGCCCGTGCTTTGGTGCTCTCGGTCCTATCGCTGCAGATGACTCATGGGGGGCAGGGGTTATGTGTATAAGATAGAGGAAGAAATACAGGACCCAATTCTGTGAGGTGGTGACATCAGTGCAAGTTGAGGGCATGCTGCATCTTTCCCAATCAGGCCCAGGGTACGTATATACTTTGCAGAAGCTGCAGCTGGCAAGTGGGGGAAGAGACCACTAGCATGTGGAAAGTGTTATCCCGGGTAGGAAAGCTTTGCCAGACAAGTACAGAAACCACCACACAAGCACTGCCCACTGGAGCCTGCAGGCAGCACTGGGGAAAGGGCTGAAGTTAAGTATGGGCACAGAGATTTGTTTCGTGATCATGTCCAGAGTGCAGGGTATTACCACAGCACTGAACTGAGCTGCGAAGCAGAGAGCGACCTCCTTTAATATCCCGTCCCTCTGCGTCATCGGCTTTCCCTGAGATTGCAGGCCTGCGCCAGCGCCAAAGAGCTGATTCCAAATCAGCAGCTGAGCTGCTCACGCCTGTCCCTGCCCTCTTGGGGCTGTGGGACACCGCAGAACTGGGTAGCTGGGCCTCCTGCCTAATTCTCCAGGGCGTGCTAGGTCTGTGTCCTGCCCGTGGGGGGGTGCGAGAAGGGAAATATTTCCACCCTAGGCATCCTTCCCTGCAACCCTCCCCACCTGGGCCTTCCTGTCCACCTGCAGCCTGGAATGTGACTAGCCCATTTCTTCTCCCTCTGACCCTCTACACCCACCGGGGGAGCCCCATCCCACAAGCAACCCTACCCACACCCCCGGGGGCCAGCCATGAGGGAAACCTGCCTACTCCAAGAGCCCAAATGGGACCTGCCCCCCATGCCACCAACCAGAGCTGATCCTGTCCTCACCCGGCCAGCCACCCCACAGCCAGAATCCACCAGTCACCCCTGCTGCTGCTGTGGAGAACTGCTTCCAGGTAGGGAAGCCACATGCAGGGGTCTCCTGGAGGTGCTGGGAAGGGGAGGAGAGCTGAGAGTGGTGCAGATGTGCAGATCAGAGCCCTGTGCTGGCAAAGAGGGGCGGGGAATGGGCCAGATGGATTTTGCAGCAAGGGTGGGAAGGGAAGAGCATTTTACCCAGGGAACGTCCCATATATCACTGGCTCAGGTCACTTGTTAAAGTTTAGGCAGCCGGTCACTGCACGTCAGGTGAAACTGCACATGCATTTTCTTGGAACTGGGCCCTCAGTAAGATACATCAGAGTCACACTGCACCATTACCCAGGAAGAAATACACAAAAATATTAAATGCCACATAAAGAACATTGGAATTCTGAATTAATTTTCCAGCAAGTCATCAGCTACCTAATGACACAGAACATATTTGAACAGCGAGAGTCAGCACAGTGCAGAGAGCACGGGAGGTTATTATGCAAAATACATTTATCAGCAAAATTTAATGATAGTATTTCAGTCTGCTGGCTTTTTTTAATATTAATGTTCAAAGAGGCGGCCTATTGACATGCCAAAAGCTCTTACCCAGTCCTTTCTGTGGGGCAGGAGAGCGAAACTCCATGAGATAATTCAGATAGGGCTTTTCTGTGCTGATTTCATAGTATCGGATGTTCCCGTCGCCCTGAGGCAGGGGGGATAAAGGCAGATCAGTTTAACATTTCAGGGTGAAAGTTGTAGGTAAATAAAAAGATATGTAAAAAGAACATCATGTGGTGCATCACTGCCAAGTTCTAGGTTAAATATACAGAGACGACAATGCTAGTTAGCCATTGTAGAACAGAGTCTCAAACCAAACCTACCTACAGCATTTCATATACTGCGTCTGGGTTCTTGGAGTAGTAGCAGTAGAAGGAACAGATGTGGTCTCTTTAATGGCGTTTGGGGAAGAAGACTCACAAGAGGACTAGCAATTTTATCCCCGTCACTCCCATTTCTCCCTCACACTTTATGGAATTAGTTTTTCTACCCTTGGGTTAAAGAACATAGAACAGCCAGACTGGGTCCGAGCAAAGGTCCATCTAGCCCAGTGTCCTGTCTTCCGACAGTGGCCAGTGCCAGGTGTTTTAGAGGGAATGAACAGAAAAACAAGTGATCACCAAGTGATCCATCCCCTGTCACCCATTCCCAGCTTCTGGCAAACAGAGGCTAGGGGACACCCTCCCTGCCCATCCTGGCTAATAGCCATTGATGGATCTGTCCTCCAGGAACTTATCTAGTTCTTTTTTGAACACTGTTACAGTCTTGGCCTTCACAACATCCTCTGGCAAAGAGTTCCATATCATATACGAGTTGCTTATCTAATCTAGTTCTCTCACAATGGAAGGAGGATAAAGTACTAAAAAATGTACTAGGACGTTGTGTTGCCCAGGAATGCTAAAGGAAATATTCCAGTACAGAAATAAACTAATTTTAGAACGAAGCGAAAGTCAGTGGAGCTGCACTGAATGGGCAGGGCTCCGCTGCACTAAATTTATGCTAATAGATTCATAGGTATCAAGGCCAGAAGGAATCACTGTGATCATTTAGTTTGAGCTCCTGTATAACAGACAATAGAATTCTCCCAAAATAGTTCCCTTTGAACTACAGCATATCTTAAAAAAATCCAACATTGATTTAAAAATTGTCAGTGACAGACAATCCATCACGACCCTTGGTGCATTGGTCTAACAGTTAATTATCCTCGTTGTTAAAAATGTATGTCTTATTTCCAATCTGAATTTATCTATTTTCAGCTTCCAGCCCTTGGTTCATGTTATACTTTTCTCTGCTAGACTGAAGAGCCCGTTAGCAAATATTTGGTCCCTCACCAAAGGCTCTTAAGCAAAGAAAGCAGTCATGGGATAAGAGGGAAGGTCCTCTCATGGATCGGTAACTGGTTAAAAGATAGGAAACAAAGGGTAGAAATAAATGTCAGTTTTCAGAATGGAGAGAGGTAAATAGTTATACTGGGCCCAGTCCTACTTAACATATTCATAAATGATCTGGAAAAAGGAGTAAACAGTGAGGTGGCAAAATTTGCAGATGATACAAAACAACTCAAGATAGTTAAGTCCCAGGCAGACTGTGAAGAGCTACAGAAGGATCTCTCAGAACTGGCTGACTGAGCATCCAAATGGCAGATGAAATTCAATGTTGATAAATGCAAAGTAATGCACATTGGAAAATATAATCCCAACGATACCTATATAATGATGGGGTCTAAATTAGCTGTTACCACTCAAGAAAGAGATCTTGGAGTCACTGTGGCTAGTTCTCTGAAAACATCCACTCAATGTGCAGCAGCAGTCAAAAAAAAGCGAACAGAATGTTGGGAATCATTAAGAAAGGGACAGATAATAAAACAGAAAATATCCTATTGCCTCTATGGTACGCCCAAATCTTGAATACTGCGTGCAGATGTAGTCGCCCCCTCTCAAAAAAGATATATTGGAATTGGAAAAGGTTCAGAAAAGGGCAACAAAAATTATTAAGGGTATGGAACGGCTTCCATATGAGGAGAGATTAATAAAACCGGGACTTTTCAGCTTGGAAAATAGATGACTAAGGAGGGATATGATAGAGCTCTATAAAATCAATACTGGTGTGGAGAAAGTAAATAAGGAAGTGTTATTTACTCCTTCTCATAACACAAGAACTAGGGGCCACCAAATGAAATTAATAGGCAGCACACAACGCACAGTCAACCTGTGGAACTCCTTGCCAGAGGATGTTGTGAAGGCCAAGACTATAACAGGGTTCAAAAAAACAACAAGGAGTCTGGTGGCACCTTAAAGACTAACAGATTTATTTGGGCATAAGCTTTCGTGGGTAAAAACCTCACTTCTTCAGATGTATCTGAAGAAGTGAGGTTTTTACCCATGAAAGCTTATGCCCAAATAA